TATGTTGTTGTATGTGCTGTGGGGTCAGTTCCGACTCATAGCGACCCTGTACAGGGTTTCCGGGGCTGTAAATCTTTATGGGAGTAGAAAGCCTCATCTTTTCTCCCACAGAACAGCTGCTAACCATGAGATTAGCAGCCTGATTCGTAACCACTATACTACCAGAGCTTATTGAAAATACCATGGCTTGGTCAGGCGCCTTAGTTCTTAAGCTGACATCTTTGCTCTTCAACACTTTAAAAAGGTCTTGTGCAGCAGATTTGCCTAATGCAAGATGTAGTCAGTTGATCCCTGTGTATTTCATCTGGTGATGTCTATGTATATATTTGCTGTTTATATTGGAAAAAGGTATATGCCATGAACAAGTCATTGGTCTTGCAAAATTCTGTCATGGGATCTCCAGCATTAATCTTGAAATTGACATGAGACACTACTGACTCATCGGGCTGAAGAAGCTGGTGAATCCCTGAATTGGCAGCTTAGATGACAGGCTTCTAGCTCAAATACCAAGAAGCTGAGGTCAGATGATGATGAGCCAGACGCAAGATCCAGAGCAAGGGAGAGTTTTGCTAGAGCATCTATCTATCTATTGGATGCAGGTCACACCCCCAAGGAAACTCCCTTTACACCACGGGAAGAGTGTGAAGGGTGTGGCTAGAGTGTGTGATTTGAGTCACACCCTCTTGTAAGGCTGTCACTGACGGCATACCTCAAACGAATCCTGCTCCATTAAGATATGTTGTTGCTGGTAAGTGCTGAAGAGTCGGTTACAACTCATACCCACCCTGTCTATGGTTTCCAAGGAGCAGCTGGTGGGTTTGAACTGCTGACCTTGTGGTTATCAGTTCAGTGTTTGTCCTACAGCGTCATACCAGGACTCCATTAACACATAGAGATTAGGATACAGCATATAAAAGAAGAATAATTACAGAATCTTAAAAATGCAGGGTAATTACGCCAGGCCATAAACTAGAAGACAAGCACGCAGTACTGGGCATCATGGCCTACCCTAATTGGCATATAACATTAACCATCACAGCTGGTACTCCTGGAAAGAAACTAACTAATCGCCAGCTGGAAACTGGAAGGAATTTGTCTTGTAGTACAAGGTGACTTTCTCAGAGGAAATTTGTGCTCATTTGAGAGGACTGGACAGTATTTAAGGAGCTCTGGTAGTGTAGTGGTTATGAATCGGACTGCTAATCTCACAGTCAGCAACTGCTCCCGGGGGAAGAAGATGACGATTTCTGCTCCCGTAAAGATTTACTCTGGTAGCGTAGTGGTTACGAATCGGGCTGTGAACCTTAAGGTCAGCGGTTCGAAACTACCAGCCGCTCCATGGGAGAAAGATGAGGCTTTCTACTCCCGTAAAGATTTACACCCTTGGAAACCCTGTAGAGGGTCGCTATGGGTCGGAACCGACTCGATGGCACTTAACAACAACAACAACAACAACAAAGATTTACAGCCTTGAAAATTCTACAGGGTCACTGTAAATCAGAACTGATTCCACAACTCATAACCACCAGAGAGTCCTGGTGTGATGCTGTAAACCTCAATGTGTTGGTTCAAATCCATAAGCTGCTCTTTGGAAACTGTGTTATTGTTGTTAAGTGCTGTTGAGTTGGTTCTAATTCATAGCGACCCTTTATAGCTTGTCCAAGGAGTAGCAGGTTTGAATTACTGACCTTGCAGTTAGCAATCCAAAGCTTACTCTAGGACAGGAAACCTTTTACAAGGTTGATAGAGTGCGAAGCCACTCAACAGCACATAACAACAAATATATTTTTGTCAAGTATACCTGTGCTCTGGTAGTGTAGTGGTTACAAATCGGGCTGTTAACCTCAGGGTCAGCAGTTTGAAATTACCAGCTGTTCCGCGGGAGAAAGAGGCTTTCTGCTCCCATAAAGATTTACAGCCTCGGAAACCCTGTACAGGGTCACTGTAAGTCAGAACTGATACCATGGCACATAACAACAACAACATACCACAGAAGTGCAATTGCGCCCCTTGTTATGTGCCGTGGAGTCGATTCAGACTCATAGCGATTAGTGGTTTCAAATCGGGCTGCTAACCTCAAGGTTGTCGGTTCGAAACTACCAGTCATTCCTTGGGAGAAAGATGAGGCTTTCTGCTCCCCTAAAGTGGAGCTGTGGGATAATGCGTCACACTGCAAAGTCGTTTGAACTGCAAAGTCAGTGGTTCAAGCTCACCAGCTGCTCCTTGGAAACCCTACACAGGGTCGCTATGGGTCGGAATCGAATTGACGGCACTTAACAACAACAATAAAGATTTACAGCCTCGGAAACCCTGTGCAGGGTCACTATGAGTCGGAACCGACTCCATGGTACTTAACAACAACAACCCACCATGCCAGGGAATATGCGATCTGGGTGCTGACTTTGATCAGGAACATGAAGGTACTGTTGCCAGCTTTCTCCACTGTAAAGTTACCATTCTCCTTTGTTATTAATTAATACCACCGGAAGATAGTTTGAGACTGTAAATTTTTGTTTCGCTTCATACTCTTGCTCACTAAATTAGCTTTCACCCTTAGATTTTGTCTGTAACAATTGTAACTGTAGCATTGTAATGGTGATTTTCTTTTTCACTCATTCTGTCCATGTTTATTAACTAGAATTCTTCTGTAAGGTAGGGTTAGCCCTTCTCCCAGTTTATTTATTCAATCATTTATATCGGTATGGACTCATGATACTCTATAGACTGTGATTCCATATGATAAGATTATCTGGCTACTCAAATCTACAACATGATTTAAATGACAGAATAGCATTCCAACTGCATGTTTGTGCCTTGAGTTATTAAACCAATTCTTCAGTGTTGGATATTTCGGTTATTTCCAGTTCTTGGATACTATTAATGATGTCTGATATACATAAATCTTTGAATTTTTATGTATTTTCATAATTAACAAAAGGTAAATTATTGGATGTTGGACAAGTTTATGAGAGTGGTTTTGATTTAGGCTGCGAATTGGTCAAAAAGTGTAGCGTAGTGGTTACGAATCAGGCTGCCACCCGCAAGATCAGCAGTTCGAGAAACTATCAGCTATTCCGCGGGAGAAAGATGAGGCTTTCTGCTACCGTAAAGATTTACAGCCTCAGAAACCCTGTACAGGGTCGCTCTGAGTGGGAACCGACTCCACAGCACATAGCTACTACCATCACCACCCAGACTAGTCAGTGTCAAGAAGAGAGGTGGTGGATCCTTGAGCTTCTTAAGGATCCTGTCGGTAGGGTTACTTAGAGCGGTGGTCAACCCGTTACAATAAAGTTATTGATGTTGACGAAGAGACTTCCGGTAGGGGCATTTCTACTTCCACCTAGAGCTTTCTGCTTCGTCGTCTTCTACAATCGAACCGGAAATGTTTTTACCCCATTTAAAGCCACGTCGCTCCTGGCCTCGGTCCCGCCCATAAACTGTGGAAGCGTTTCCGGGGTCACGTTATTCCGGTCTCTCGGCCCCGCAGCTGGGTCTGTGCTAGAAGCCCCCTGTCTCCCGGAAGTGGCCCGGGCCTCTCTGCCGGGGTTCCCTCCACCCTGCTGCAGAGGGCCGCGGTGCGATGGCGGAGGCGGCAGCGGAGCGGGACTCTCGGGAGAAGCTGGCTCTCTGGGATCGGAGACCGGACACTACAGCACCGCTGACCGACAGGCAGAAGGACTCGGTGCTAGAGCTAAAGGCGGCGGCGGAGAACCTGCCTATGCCGATCGAGGTGAGGGGACGGGCGGGAATGGGGGTGAGATGTTCTTCGGGCCGGTAGGCAGGAGCCTGGCCTTTTCCCGTTTGCTGACTCCTGCTCAGGGTTTCTTCCCTTCTCCCTGGTCCTGGTGGTGTCTCTGGTGGCAGAAGCTCTTGCCTGCGGGGACTGTCAGGCTTCTCACCGTCGGCGACCGCAGACCCTCCACTCCCGCCCCGGGACTGCTGCGGGGGCGTCCAGTGGCTGGTGTTCGCCGGCGCCCAACCCAGCGCCTGCTACGTGGGACCGTTGGCCGGCCAGGAGCCTTGCTACGGTCGTCCCTGGTGTCAACTGAAGCAAAATCCTACTGCCTTTCTCCCTGAATCGGAGGTGCAGGATCTGCGTTTGTATTCGTTTACCCACGGCAGAAAAGCGCCTAGCGCAGTTTTTTCCCTTAGGGGACTTGGTGAGACCATAAACTTGACTGGAGAGTTTCTTTGATCATAGACTGAACAGCGAGAGTACTGTCCACTAAGTGAGGATTATAGGATATGTACTGGACCACAAGATTGGCGATTCGAGCTCACCAGCCACTACTTTGGAGAATGGAGGCTTTCTGCTCTTATAAACGTTTAAAACCTCGAAAATACTATGCGGGGTCACTATGAGTCTGAACCAAGTTGTTGCCACTTAACAATATGAGAAATATCAGATTGATTTGGCCCATTTCAAAGCAATATAGATGCATTTGTTTTAAAAGGCGAATCAGTCAGTACATTATTAGAGTGCTCGTTATCGATTTTAGTATGAATGTTTACAATCCCAGTGACCAATTTTGGGCATATTATTGCTTGAGTGATTGAATTCATTAACTGTAATTACAATTGCAAGGAGTATGTTTTATAAATTGTTAGATACCTGACAAACTTTTTTCTAGTTTTTAGGGCCACGTTTAGAAAGATTGTATGCGGTGATAGTTACTTTTGATTTTGGAAGCATTCTTCTTACACAATTTAAAATGCCCCAAAGGAAGATTAAGTTTAGAGAATAATTTTTATTTCCTCATCTCAAACTTTTGAGGTTCAGAATTTAGATTGAAAAGTTCTGTCTACGCTCACTGCTGCATGCTCTGTCCTGAAATACAGGTGTTCTATCTTGGGTTTCTCTGTCCACTTCCAGGATGCTGTGCCGGAAGTGGGTGTGGAATAAATGAGGAAGCAGGTGGAAATTTCTTTGGCTTGCTGTCAAGGTCTTTCAGGCCAGGGATAAAAGTTTACTCTATGGATTTCTATAGATTTCCCAATTTATTTATAATTGATTTAGCCTCTTAGTGAGGCAGGTTGTTTCCAATGGGAAGAATCTACTCTACAATTTGTTTTTATTGCCATGGATCAGAAATGATTACTAGTTTTTGTTTTTTTTTTCTTCCAGAAACTAATATTTTGTATTCTCTTTTACCATGAAGGTGAGAATTTGGAGTGAAGTAAATGTAATCTTTTCATTTTCACCCCATTCTTCTGTATTTGTGTGATACAGTGTCTGCCATTAGTTTCATTGAGTCTTTTAGCCTGTTATGTACGTACATACTGTGGGTTGGGAATTAGGGCTGGAGAGATGATAAGGAAGTCAGTATGCCTGCCTTATTGAATGACTGATATTGATCAAGAGCATGTAAAAAATGCTGAGAAAAGGCCAGTTTGGATAGTGACACGTGTTAAGGACAATAAAGCAGGATGTAGTAACAGAAAGGGATGGGTGTGTCCTGTTAGAAAAGGAGGGAAAACCTTCCTAAGAAAATGACTTCAGGTGAGAACTGAATAATGGGAAGCAAGAAGCAGCCTTGCAAAGACTTGTTACGTGCTGTTGAGTTGGTTCACGATCCTGTATAGAGTTTCCAAGAAGCGACTGATGGGTTTGAACTACTGGCTTTGCATGTAGCAGTCCGGTATTTTTCCTGTAGCGCCACACCAGGACCCTTTGCGAAGACTAGATTGAGAAGAAAGAATTCCAGCTCAAGGAAAACGCAATATGAACCTCATGGCTTGGGGAAAAGTTCAATGAGGGTTTTTGGTGCAGGCATCCTTGGTATTGATTCTTGTGAGAATGAGATTGAAAGCCTGGTATTTATTCATCCCGGAATCTCTGAGGGGAAAGTTCTCACAGCTCTTTAGCTCTCAGCAGCCTTCATTTCCTTTCAAGAGGTGCTTCTATATCCGGGGCAAAGACTTTGGAATTGAATTTTTAGTCCCTGTTACCAGAAAGATGTTTACCTCTTCTTTATTGACTATGCAAAGGCTTTCAATTGTGTGGATCATGACAAGCTATGGATAACATTGCAGAGAATGAGTATTCCGGAACACTTAATTGTGCTCATGAGGAACCTGTACATGGACCAAGAGGCACTTGTTCCAACAGAAAAAGGAAACACTGCATGTTTTAAAATTAGGAAAGGTGTGCGGCGGGGTTGTATTCTGTCACCATACGATTCAATCTGTATGTTGAACAAATAATCTGAGAAGCTGGATTATATGAAGAAATATGTGACATCAGGATTAGAGGAAGACTCACTAACAACCGCGATTTGCAGATGATACATCCTTGCTTGCTGAATGCGAAGAGGACTTAAAATACTGATGAAGATCAAAGACCACAGATTTTGGTATGGATTGCACCTCAATGTAAAGAAAACAAAAATCTTCACTACTGGACCAATAAATAACATGGAGAAAAGATTGAAGTTGTCAAAGACTTCATTGTGCTCGGGTAAACCATCAACATTCATGAAAACAGCAGTCAAGAAATCAAACTGACGTCTTTGCTCTTCAGCATTTTAAAGAGGTCTGTACAGCAGATTTGCCTAATGCCTAATGCAAATCTGCTGCACAAGACCTCTTTAAAGTGTTGAAGAGCAAAGATGTCAGCTTGAGGACTAAGGTACGCCTAACCCAAGCCATAGTATTTTCAATAACCTTATACGTGTACAAAAGTTGGACAGTGAATAAGGAAGACCGTAGAAGAATTGATGCATTTGAGTTATGGTTTTGGAGGAGACTATTTAAAGAAACATCAATGCTAGAAGATTAAACCAATCTGTGTTGTAAGAAGTGCAGCCAGAATGCTCTCTGGAAGCTAGGATGGCCATACTTTGTCTCTCATACTTGGGATGTGTTGTCAGGAGGGAACGGTTCCCGGAGAAGGATATCATGTTTGGTAAAATGGAGGGTGGAAGAAAAAAAGGAAGAACCCCCAGTAAGATGAATTGGCATGGCAGTAGTGGTGGGCTCAAATGCAGCAACAATTGTGAGGTTGGCACAGGACCGGGCAGTGTTTGGTTTTGTTGTGCACTGGGTCGCTATGCATTGGTATAGACTTGATGGTACCTAACAGCAGCAACCACTATTTTAATATGAGGGCTAAAAACAGATGCTTGAATAATTATAATTTTGTCCAACCAGTACATCGCTAAAGGATAATCCTGTTCTATTTCAGAATTTCTGTACGATAACATTGCTTTCTGAATGACTGGAACTTAGGTAGATTAGTTAAGTAGCACGAGGCCAGTGAACTCAGTAAATATCATAAATACCATAAAGCTGATAACTCCTGTAGAAAACAGCTTTCTCTTTTATGAATGGTCAGACTTTTTTTTTTCTTTAGTCACTCTGTTTATCTGGCATTGTAGTTGTGTGCCGTTGAGTTAGTTTTGACTCATGGTGGTGATATGCCGTGGAGTCGGTTCCGACTCAAAGCAACCCTGTACAGGGTTTCTGAGGCTGTAAATCTTTACAGGAGCAGAAAGCCTCATCTTTATACCGTGGAACAGCTGGTAGTTTCGAACTGCTGACCTTGTGGTTCGCAGCCCGATTCGTAACCACTACGCTACCAGAGCTCCTTAGTTTTGACTCATAGCGAGCCTATATAGGGTTTCTGAGAGCCAATGGTGGGTTTGAACTACCGATCATGTGATTAGCATTCCAGTGCTTATCCATACAGAACAAAAAACCATTTGCAGTAATATATTATATAGACTTGTTTCTGGTGTTCAGGACAAGTTTTTAGTAGTTAGGACCTTTTTGTTTTTTGCTGACTTCAGTATGTTGTTGTTGTAGTTAAGTTCTGTCATGTTGGTTATGGCTCATAGTGACCCTGTAGATAGGGTGGGGAATCATTTGGTATGGCCCTGCCAAGGCAGCTGCAGTCCAGCCATCACATTGTTGTTGTTAAGTGCCGTCGAGTTGGTTCCTACCCATAGCGACCCTGTATAGGGTTTCCAAGGAGTGGCTGGTGAACTTGAACCATTGACTTTGCAGTTCAAATGACTTATCAGTCCACCACATTCACTCACACATTAGGGGTCAGTTAATTGAATGTTTGACCAAATATAGCGGGGTAGTTTTTAAGCTGTTAATTTTGTATGGCCTGCAAATGATGTTATGAATGTCCAAATGGCCTTGGCAGAAAAAAGGTTCCCCACCCCTGTTGTGTAAGGTTTCCAAGAGCATCTGGTGGGCTCGAACTGCCCATCTTGTGATTAGCAGCTCAATGTGTAAACCAACAGTGCCACACCAGGACTCCAAATTTATTATCATGTGCAATTGTTGTTGTTGTTGTTAAGTGCCGTCGAGTCGGTGCAATAGAAGGGTGAAATGATTTTTCCTGAACTTGGAGGTAAAACTGCTATGGTGGTGGTGTTGGTGTGCTGTGGAGTGGTTCTGAGGCTGTAAGTTTTTATGGGAGCAGAAAGGCTCATGTTTCTCCCCCACCCCCGGGAATGGCTGGTAGTTTCGAACTGATGACCTTAAGGTTAGCAGCCCAATTCGTAACCATTATGCTACCAGAGTTATAGGAGTTACTTAGTCACAGGCTGTGTGGCCCCAGAAATAACATTTAAGTTCTCTGAACCTCAGTTTCCTTCTTTTTGTAATGGGATTATAATGTATATGTCTCCTGGGAATTTGTGAGAATTATTTGGAAGTGCATATAGCGAGTTATTTGCTAGTATTGTTCTTGTGTTTTCTTTCAAATGATCATCAACTTAACCTGAGCTGGTAAGGTGTCACTCACACCAAAGGTAAGAAAAGAGGGTAGGTCCATACATACCTCTTCTGTGATTTCTCCAAACAGAAAGTAACTTCAGTAGAATCTCCAGTGAGTAGTATTCAATCTGACTAGGCAGGGTTGATGAAATGAAATGTAGACGGGTCTCTTGTGATACACTAGTGAATAATTGTTATCAGGACTGACTGTGAGGATTGGAAATGTAAAGGTAGAAGTTTCATAGCAAGGAGGGGAGTGATTGACTTTTCAGTCTAGGAGCAGAGGTCCCTAGGACCATCAAGGGAGAAGAACAGAGAGCGGGACCCTACCCAGAGAAGCAGTGATGACTGAAATGGAGCCAGAGATGATGACGTGGAGTGATGGAGCAGCTGGAGACTTTAGATCCAGAGAGGGAGAGCGACTGTGTGCTGAAGGCTTGGGGGGTACGGGGGAAGGATTGCATGGAGGGGATTGTAACCATGGCAATGAGACGATATACGATAGAATGAATGTAAAACTAATGTTCTCCCATGTATACTATTACATAATTCACAATAAATCATTTAAGAGAAAAAAAAAAAAGTAACTTCAGGTTTTCATTTAAGAAATGAATTGATTAAATGGAGATAAAGAGTGATTTTCTGTAACCCAGCCAGAATGGTGCAAGAAGGAAAGCTAGGGAGAGAAAGGTGTATTTGTTTATTCCTGGCCTGCTTAGCTAGGCACACAAAGCTTTTGTAATTGTCATTTAATATGTTAGTGTCACCATTTGAATAGAGCTATACAGTCACCCTTTAGGTCTGTTAACTTGCAACCTAGATATGTGCTCTTCTGTCTTTGGTGGCTTTTGTCCACTCCATGTGGGAATGTGGTCCGTGCTAGTGAGCGGAAGGCAGGCAGTCTCTCATGAGAAGTGAGTGAGAGGTCAGAGCAGGATGATAATACCACCACCTCACTTCTTGGTTAACCATTTGATTCCAAATGCTTGGAGAAAAGAAGAAGCTGGGCAAATGGACCCGAGGGAGGTGGTGTGCTATTAAAAATAAACTTATTTTGCTATGAAAATATATAATCTTTAAAATGGCTGTGGTGTAGCATCTCCTGCTTGTTGTGAGAGAAAATGACATTGTTTTAGAACAAGAGAACTGAAAGCTAACTTCTGCTTCTGGTATTTAAAAGTTTTTATGATTGAAAAAGTTAGTATTGGTGCTTAAAGTAATCACATAGGATACTCTTTTCAAGTTCAAATTACGATATTTTCTTACAACATCTGGATTAGTTGTTGTTGTTGTCAGGTGCCATTGAGTCGGAACCGACTCATAGCGACCCCATGCACAGCAGAACGAAACAATGTCCGATCCTGGGCCAACCTCACCACCGCTGCCACACTTGAGTCCATCAATGATGCCACCTGGCCAATCCGTCTCGTTAGGGATTAGAGAGTAGATAAAATGAAGAGCTCTAGTAGCTGCTCAGGTGCCCAGGGCTTTCATGATTTTATCTTAAATGAAATTAGAAAATAATCACTTCTGGTCCAAGATGACAGATTTAACACCCATACATGACACTGTGGGATCTCTTTGAAATGACAATGACACACCGAAAACAAGGAAGAGATTAGAGGACTTGGAAGATTGCCAAATTTTTGGAAGCTAGAAAACATGTGGTATAATTTTAAAAATCAGCCTAAAGACTTAAAAAGAACTGGATGTAACTGCTAACACATTGATGATCTCAAAAGAGATGGCACAGGTGACAGGGAGGGTGAGTTAGTTTCCCTTTGTCTAGGGGTAGTTCTCAAGGGATTCAGTGGAGAAATCGTGTGGACTATCCCAGGTCCATCACTGATTAGAAAGCTCTGCAGTTGAATGCCACACTTTCATCTAGCATTTAGTGTAGAGTCTAGTTAGAAGCTCTAATATTGTATGCCATATTAACGCCAAATCACTGACTGTGAAACATGGCTTGAGTTAGATTCAGAGACTTTCCATGTTATTTAAATATTTTTGTGGTCTTTGTATTTTTAAAGCTACCAATTGAAGACCTGAGCAGTTTAATATCCCAGTCAGTGCCCATCTCCCTGACTTCCTTAGTGCCTGAGTCTACAGAAGACATTCTCATGAAGGGCTTCACCTCACTAGAGATGGAAGAAGAAAGAATCGAAACTGCCCAGCAGGTGAGTGGCAGAGTCTTTTTAAAGAAATTTGATGTATTTTAGGTGTCGCAAGGCAGGACTGATAAAGTCCTTAGTTAAAAGTTTTGAACATTTGAAACTATAGTGAACATCAAGTTTTCTAGAACATTTTTGATTTTGCATTACTTGTGGTTACCTCCCAAGTGTTTTAAACCTATCTGTTAACTTAGTTATATTTATAATACAGATAAAAATGTGATGTGCCAAGTGAGATGCTGATTATCTACATTAAAGTCTGAATATGTTACTGACTGTTGACAACCCCTGGTGTTTGTGTGTATTGACCTGTCCCTCCAGCACACATAAGCACACACTGACCTCTGTGTTTATTGCCAGATAATCCCCTCTTTAAAAATCTAAATAGCCTCTTAAGATGGACTCTTGGACATTTATTTTTTCATTGATTTAGCATGCGGAATTCTCTCTTGGTTTTTGATTATTCCCAATTATAAACCTAAATATAAAATAGTTTCTTCTGCCTATTCTGAATCCAAGCTGAAGCTCTTACCAAGTAAGACACAAAGCAGACTTGTGAATTGCACACACAGTAAGTTGAGAGAGGCAGCATTGCAAAGCTTTTGATTCAGGCAGAACTGGATCTGAAAGTTAACCACATCACTTACCATCTTTGTAGATTGAGACAAATTCCCTGGTCTTTAGTTTTCTAATCTGTAAAACAGGGATAATTATCATACTTGTCTCATGAAATTTTGGTGTGAATTAAATCAGCATACCTTGATGTAGAATCCAGCTTGAGAGTTGTAGGAGGTAATCTTGTATCAATCACATCTGGAAACTTGTTTGTACTACTGTTTTTGTGGTTTTTTTTTTAAAAAGAAAATCTTCTGAATTGGAATTGTACATGTGTCTGCTAAAAAAAAAATTAAATTGAATTTATTGAGTTATAATTTGCATGCAGTAAAAAAGTACGCATTTTAAGTATACAATTTAATGAGTTTTGACAAATATATATACCTGTTGTAATTACCACTATAATCAAGGTATTGTGTCTTAGATTATCTTGTCACAGTTTTCATTAGATAACATAAATACTGCTATTTACCCAAAACTCTATGACACAGATGCAAGTTTGGTCAAGAAATGGAAGAAATGTCTTACATATTGTATCTCTGATACTCTTTTTTATATGATTCTGAAGATGGCCAATATTTTTAATATTCTGTGCTTTTTCTAGTATTTGAATAGTGAGTATAACTAAATTACCTTTTCCTGGCTTACAATGAACTGTAAATATCTGAGCCCTGAATGATAAAACTTAAGTCGCACTAACTTATTCTGTGACTTGCTGAGTAGTAAGTAGTCACTGTCCATTCTGTCTGTTTTGGTTTTGTTGTCAATTTAATACTCTTACTTTCCTAGTTTTTCTCATGGTTTGCGAAGCTCCAAACACAGATGGACCAAGATGAAGGTACTAAATATAGGTATGTGGCTCTCACATTTGTTGGATATTCTGATTTTTAGATCATAGATATCAGACACATATTATAATCTATATCTTTAAACAGAATTAAGATACAAAGACAACTCATCAGTAGCAACATTTTTCTTTATGAATACTCAGGTAGAGGTATTGGGTCCAATTCCAACTGATATTGGAAGTTGTACAATTGCCAAAAAAAAAAAAAAAAAGTTGTACTGAGGAGGGGCAGACGTTTGTGTATGTAATCCCATCAAGGGTTGGATTTAAGTGGCAGTTTTAAAAGGAATGCTAGGAGGTGTTTGTTGTCTCTCTCTAGAGGGGGTACCCAAGAGACTGTAGAGATAGCTTTCTTTTAGGAGGCCTACCTAGATTGGTTATAGCGCTGTTGTTCTAATTGTATATGTGAATACCATGGAAAGCATTCCAGAGGTTGCTAGTTGATTTGGGAAATGTAGGGTGAGCGTTTGCATTTAGTTATTTGTTGAGTGGCGATTGTCTTTGGCAATGTGACATGTGATCCCATTTAAACATCATAGCTGCTCTATGAGGAAAGGTAGTCTTTCTCTTTGACCAATAAATCAACAGGCCCAGTGTCACAGAGATGGGCAGAGTTGGGACTTGAACCCAGGTCTTCTAATTTCATGTCTAGTATTCTTTCTATTAGATCACACCTTCTCTCATAAGTGGAGGTGACCTGAAAAATTGACCTTCATTGAGCCTTTAGGTGACTTTGTTATCCCAGTCTTTGAAAGTTGAGCCATATTTTATTGTCTTATGTGTGAATAACCAGTTCATAGCTTAATGACTGATTCCTTTTGTTGCTTATAATATCAGTGATTGGCCATCTTAAATTAAGTATTGACAGTTGATGAGATAGCTTTTGGTACATTTCTGAATATAATCAACTTTGAGTAGGTTCGACTTTACTCCTGAAACTCAAGTATTTTGGGAAAAATGAGATTTTATTGTTTGTTGGCTCTGTTTATAGGGGGAAAATATTATTGTCAATCCCCTTTTGGTTCTGTTTTCTAGACAGATGAGGGATTACTTGTCTGGGTTTCAGGAGCAGTGTGATGCTATATTGAATGATGTGAACAGTGCCCTTCAGCATCTGGAATCATTGCAGAAACAATATCATTTTGTGTCCAATAAGACAGGAACCCTACATGAAGCCTGTGAACAGCTCCTCAAAGAACAGGTAACTTGGAGTTGGAGAGAGGGTCAGTGATTCTATTTAATATTTTATTTTGAAATAGATGAGTACAGTTTCATGTCCTTGATTTCTTCAAGTATATTGAACACTGCCCTGCATGAGACCCTGGGCTAAGCATGCTGGTTATTACGTTGATAGTCGACTTTTACTCTAAATCAATTTTATGGTAACGGGCAAAGGCAAGCTTCTCCGTGTTCTGAGCTTTCAGGTCGTGGTATAGTTTCACAGTGAAAAGAATATTTTAGCTTGTCTTGTCTATTACTGACACTTCAGAAATGCATTTTTTTTTTTTTTTTTGCAGTAATGAATGGTAAGGATCAATTGATGTAGCTTTCATTTTAACATGTGACTTAGAAATAGAAGATTTAACTTATTATGCTTATCTTGGTGTCCTGGTGTGGCGCTGTAGGATAAATGCTGGACTGTAAGGTCAATTTTAGCCGCAAGGTCATGGTTCAAACCCACCAGCGGCTCTTTGGAAACCCTATACAGGGTCACTGAGTTGGAATTGACTCAATGGCGCTTAACAAGAACAGCAATACTTATCTTGGAGTCCTGGAATGATGCTGTAGCAGTAGAGTGCTAACCATAAGGTTGGTGGTTCAAACCTACCAACCGCTCCTCAGAAACACTATACAGTGTCACTATGAGTCGGAACCAACTTGATGGCACCAAACAACAACACAGCAACATGCTAATCGGAGTTTTCTTTATGCATTTTTTTAAAATTTAAGGTGATTACTATTTTACAAAAAGATCAGATGAAACTTACTGGATAATCCTCATTACTTATTTTAGTTCATGATTATGGAAATCTTTGAGCATTAGTCTGACATTTTATGTCTAATATAAGTCTGTGTACTAGAAATCTATTCAGTGCAACTTTGATATAGTAGTGTTGAATCTCATATTCTTGTAATAACTATCTTTTCTCTTAAAAAATTTAGTCGGAACTTGTTGATCTGGCTGAAAATATTCAACAAAAGCTTTCCTATTTTAATGAATTGGAAACTATTAACACAGTAAGCATTTTGTTTATTTATTTTTTGGTAAAGTAATGACAATAATTTTGTTATATATTTCTGTGAGTATAGTCTTTAAACTTACCGTTGACTTGAATGATACTCTAATTTAATAGTTAGCTTGTTTGAAGATATTATGTGTAGTCAGTTCATTACCAGCTTAGAATGTTGTCAAGTATACTTTGTGAATTAGTATTCTGGAATTACTGTTATTAAAATCTCTTGGTTGGTGGCCTCTTAATTTGTAAACTGTGACATAGATGATAAGAAATATTTCATTTTAAGTTATCCTGAGTTTGTGTTACTATAATAGTAATGAAAACATTTTTAAAAAGAATCTCATGTGTAGTTACAGGACAAGTAAGTCCTCAAAGTATTCTTGTCTTCCAAAGTAGCAGTCCCAATAAAGACTGCTGTGTAAATTACGTTTTTGTATGGTTCTGGCTTGTAGGATACTTATGATAAAATAGTGAAATTATTTTATTAAACACAATTATACTTTACTAGATACAAGTAAAACTAGGACCTAATTAACAGTTGAATGTACAAGGAACTAATTCATTGCTTTGTCACCAAGGTATTAGTGTATGAAGATAAGATAGAATTGGCTGGTAATATTTTACTTTCATGGTATGACTGTTAAACAGTATTTGATTTAAAAAATGTACTAGTGTTTGAAAGTAAAAAGTCATTTGCATTGTAAAGTACTAGAAAATGGAAAATCTAGGTACTTGTGTTATTTTAATATAACATTGTATAGTGAAGTGATGTAAAAGCTTTGCTCATCCACCAAGAGCCCCATTAAGACTCAGTAGGAGTAAACTAAATTGAAAAAAAGTTTTTTTTATTTGTCCCTTCTTTATTGCTATACATGGGTTGTGTTTAAGCATATTTGATGACTCTTTAAATGTAAAGATATTAATAGAAGAAGTCTTCAAAAAGTTCATGGAAAAATGGAATGAAAAGATAATGTAATTTGTTCATACTGCATTGTGTAACTTTGCTGTATGCTAAAGGGAAATATGCTGATTCTAATAGGTCATTTATAACTTTTACCTATGCCCATTTTTGTGAATTAAGATGGTTTTCTTTGTTTCTGTTAAAGAAATTGAATTCCCCTACATTGTCTGTGACTAGTGAAGGATTTATACCTATGCTGGCCAAGTTAGATGATTGTATAACATACATCTCATCTCATGTAAGTCATGCTTATTTCTGCATATTTTAAAGAAAGCTTAACTTCCCTTTATATGAATTACCTTGCTCTAAACTAATTATTTCTTCTAAAGGGGAAAAACTAGTGAATTCTTTGTGGATATTAGTTGTGCTTGGTAAACCACTTTTGGTTCCTGAGGCCTTAAGAGTAAAAAGAAGTCCTGGCTGATTCAACTTTATCCCTAAAACACGAACCACTTTTAGATTGTTATTCCTTTGATGTGATAGATATTTCTTTAAAACCAGAAAGTGTCATATGTGGGGAAATAAAGGCACAAGATCTTGATTTATATCAGTAGTTACTTTCCCAAATTCATACTCTTTTCCTAATTGGACCATATGTACACTAGCTCTGGACAACTTTTATATGCTAACAACTGTAAATAATGATTTAATGTCCATTATGTGCCAGGTACAAGGCATTTGGCTTTGAGCCAGGCATTTACAGTAGTCATCTTAGTGGATCTTATGAGCCGTGTAAGACTTAACTTGTACGAGACTAAACATCTACACACATATAAGGGAGCTTTAAATTCATGGAAGAGTGGATTAAAAAAACAGTGGAACTTTTCCATGAACATTTTAAAGCCCTTTCATGTAGGTGTGTGCCTTTATATCTGTATGTATATGTACACAAATATATATATATATAAACACATCTATGTGTACACACACACACGTAGAGGTAAATTCATACAAAGAGCACCTGCGTTTTCATTGAAAGTTGTTTTGACAGTGTTTCCTCTATGTAAACCATTCTCTTTCCTTTCCAGCCTAGTTTTAAAGATTATCCTGTATATATGCTGAAGTTTAAGCAGTGTCTCTCTAAAGCTCTGCACCTCATGAAGTCATACACTGTGAACACACTACAGAACCTCACGAATCAGTTATTAAAAAGGGTGAGTGAACTGGGTCTAGTAGCAGGGTGTTGTTTAAAGAATTTGTTTTTGTTTTTGATTCGTTGATGTTTCATAATCTTGGCTTGAGATCATTACTTTTAACTTGAAAGAAGCTTTTCCCAATTTTCCAAATAAGAATTATACATTCTAGTTTTATTTATAATAGGGGAAAATGGCCAAATGTCCCTTATAGTCTTATTTTCTAAGAATAGTTAGCAATATGTGAAGTAATCCAGTACTGTATGATGTTGTTAAGTGCTGTTGAGTTGGTTCTGACTCACAGCAACATTAACTGATCAATTGTATTTTTCTCAAATGCCTACTCATGCCTCACAATGAACTAGAAACTGTACACTAGGAACTAGAACTCTCCTTGCCAGTGTGGGGCTTACATTCATAAGAAATAATCACTAGAGAAAAAAGCAAATGAGTAATTTACAGATGGTAGGAGATACTAGGCAGAAGACCAACAGGGCTAACAAGAAGGGCTGACTGGGTACTCGTTGGGCACATTGTTCTCTTAAGGAAATAAAACCATAAAGGTTATAAATAGCGTTATTTTTAAGTTTACTTCCTGAAGAACATGGGTTGGCATCATTTTTAAAGAAATATTTTTGTTTTATTACGGTAAAAAGATCTATTTTTGCCATTCTAAACCATTGTGTAATTCAGTGGAATTAATTATATTCACAGTGTTGTGCAACTGCTAACCACTGTCTATTTCTAGAACTTTTTCATCACCCAAATAGAGTAGCATATGAAGAGCTTTCAATTAAAAGCCACTGATTTTTGCATTTATTTTTGTTGTTGTTTTTATTTTTGTTTAATGAAAGTTTCTATGATTTTATGTCAGTACTTTTTTTTTCAACTTTTTATTGTGAATTGAGTGAAGGTTTACAGAGTAAATCATCAGGTTTATATTCAACAAATCATATACTTTGCTTCATTACATGGTTGTAATCCCCTCCATGCACCAACAGTTTACCTCTATTCAATGTAACTGTTGCATTCCTCACTGTGTCTCCCTCTTGTATATTGCCTGCCCCGACACCCATGTTAACATGTGTCTACCCTGTAGCCTGTGAATAATCCAGCTTCCTCCCCGCTGTAACCATCATAGATTGTTTCTTTTATTAAGAAAATCTTTAACTTCTTGCAACATTGGTTTCATATAACATTTGTCCTTTCGTGATTACTGATTACAGCATAATGTCCTCCACGTTCAATCATGTGAGGCGTTTCATAGATTTCATTATTTTCTAGTGTTTTATAGTATTCCAAAGTTTGTTTAACTATTCTTCTGTTGATGGGCATTTAGGCAGTCTCCATCTCTAGTAGACAGCATATTGAAGGATCCTGTTTTCTTATCCATTCTGTGAATTGAGTGATATGTTTATGTCTCTTGACTGATATGTTTAATCCATTTACATTCACTGTAATTACCAATAGGTCTGAATTGATTGCTGTCATTTTTCTGTTTATTTTCTTGTGTTGCTGAATTCTTTATTCTGCATAATTTTCTATGCTGAGTTTATTTTGTTTGTAGGTTTTCTTTTCAGTTTCATTTCTGTTGTGTTCATGTTTAGTAAATCTTTCTGGTTTTCTTCTTTTACTTTGATGTGTGGATATATTATTTTTCTTTGTGGTTACCATGTAATTTAACAGCTGCAACAACAATATCTGGGTTGGATTCTGAGTGCTGTTGTCATGTGTGGTAGTCTCAGATTGTGTCTGCCGTCATTCGTTCACAATCCAAAGAACACTCTTTAGTATTTTTGTAATGTTGGTCTGGTCTTTACAAATTCCTTTAATATCTGTTTTATCAGGAAATGTACTGATTTTTCCATCATAGTTGAGGGACAGTTTTGCTGGGTATATGATTGCTGGGTACGATTGGTAGTTTTTTTCTTTCAGAGTTTTATATGTATCATCATCCCACACTGCCTTCTTGCCTGCACGGTTTCTGCTGAAAAATCGGAGCTTAGTCTTTTTGGTTATTCTTTGTAGGTAACTTTTTGTTTTTACCAAGCAGCTCTCAGAATTTTTTTCCATGTCCTTGATTTTGGAAAATTTGATTATATGTCTTGGTGATTTTCTTTTAGCATCTATCCTGTTTGGGGTTTGTTCAGCTTCTTGTATGCTTATCTTCTCATCTTTCATGATGTTAGGGAAGTTTTGTTCTAACAAGTCTTCAACAATTTTCTCTGCTTGTTATTGTCTCTTCCTGTTCTGGAGTTCAGATCACCTGTAAGTTGTTCCTCTTCATGGTGTTCTGCATAACTCTTAGGCTTTCCTCAGAGTTTTTCCATTCTTTTTTTATTCTTCTTCCAGCATACTAGTATTGAGAGATTTATCTTCAAGTTCACTAATTTGGGCTTCCATTGCTTAAATATTCTTTGCCTTTTCAGTGTATTGTCTGTTTCTGAAATCTTAGTATTAATCTTCTGGATTTCTAATTGCAGGTTTTGTATTGTTTCAAAATTTTAATTTATTTTGTCTGTTTTTTCTTGTAACATTTTCCTGAATTCTTCTAAAGTTTTCTTTTTGTGTTTTCCTAGCCTTTTCTTGATCTTTCTGTCAGTCTGCTGAAGGTGCCAAAATATCATTCTTCTGAATTATTTTTTATTAGTTTCATTACCTTTTTTTCCTCAGAAATGCTTTCTGTCTCTGCATCTTGGTCATTTGAGTCAAATTTTCTCTTGTTTTTTTCATGTAAGCTTAAAAATATCACTGGGGCATTATGGGTTTTTAATTTTTTAAATTTTATAACAACAAAACAGTAGAGTTGTTGGACCCTAAGGGGAGAAATCTCTGGGGGGGCTCTTGTAACTCAAGGAGCTTGTGAGGTGGTTGTTGAAGGGATGTGGCAGCAGAGTTCCCGGCCCTAGACGGAGTTCCCATTGGCATTGGTGTTAATCTATGTTCAGGGCTCTCAATCCAGTAGTAGTTTATGTGTATCCTTGAAGGATCAGGCTTCAGAGTCTGTTAGGAACACAGAGCATTTTGGGGCTGGCCTATTGGCTCTGGATGTCTGTATGTCTGGAACCGAGCCCACTTGAATCCAGGCACCAAAGCAGCACACCAAAGTTGCTCAGCTGTCCCCAGCTCACACTGGTGTGGTTCCCAACCACATGGCTCTGAACTATAGGAGAGCACGGCCTGCTTTGGGTGTGGATGGAGGGTGGGAGCTGGCCACATCTCTGCTCACTAGGGTAGTGTGGGAGAAAAAGAAGAAATGGCACCTTTCATGTTGTTTACATGAATCTACTCTGCCAGGCCTCCTTCCGCTGCCAGAGCTGCTCCCAAGATTGTGGAGCTGTGTCTGGTCAGCCATTTACCAGTCATCTCCCACATCCCTGCTTGGCCTGTTCTTCCCACAGGCACTCCCTCTACGTCTCTTACCTTTCTTCTGAAGTTCAGGGTGCCAGAATTCTCATATGTGTCTGCTTTGTTTGTCTCTTGTATTGTTGTAGGGAGTCCATCTAGTGAGTCTGCCTAGTCCACTGTCTTGTTGGAAGTCAGTCTTTAATCATGTTTGCAAACAAAATATCTTAGTCTTCACATTGTTCTTTATTGATGTAACAGCCAGTCTTTTTTTTTTTCTGTTTTGTAAGATTTTCAGTTAAATCTTCAGATTTAATTTAGGTAAGATAAATCTATTACCTATTGTGGGGTGGAGTCCTGGTTTGGCGCTGTGGGTTAATGCACCAGACTGCAAAACCATTTGAACTGCAAGGTCGGCGGTTCAGGCTCACCAGCTGCTCCTTGGAAACCCTATACAGTGTTGCTATGGGTCAGAACCGACTCAACAGCACTTAACACCAACAACAACAATTGTGGGTTACTGTTGAATTGCACAAAGCCTCTGTGAGGTATGTGTCAGCACCATCTAATGGACACATGGAATCTCAGACACATGGTGTAATTTGGCCAATGATCCACATTCAGTATGTGACACAGTGTGAGTGTGAATTTAGGTCTGTTTATGAACAAAATTCATGTAACATGAGGTAAAATTTATAACTTTCAAAGGACAAAATTTATAACAATAATATTTAATCTCCTTAAAAAATTTTTGTCTCTTAAGCTTTTAGATGGTTTACAGACCAAGTTGTAGCATTAGGAAATGGTAGGTGTCATTGTTTCCAAATCATCATTGTTTGCTAACTGTCTTCATCTTTTCTATCCATGTTTCTTTAGGATCCTTCATCAGTACCTAATGCAGATAATGCTTTCACACTGTTCTATGTGAAATTTAGAGCTGCTGCCCCCAAAGTCCGGGTAAGTGTGTTGACATAAGTGGAGTGTTGCTATGAAATTTATGGAGCCAGCCTTCTGAAGTCCTGTTGTCTGTCAGGGCATGTGACATGAACAGGAAATACTTGTTGCAAAATCCCTTAGCTTCTGTTTATCCTGGAATGCTGATTGACAGCTTTGCTGGGTGGAGGATTCTTGGGTGGCAGTTTTTTTCTTTCATTATGTCTCCCCATTGCCTTCTTGCCTGCATGGTTTCTGTTGACAGTTCTGAGCTTAATCTGATTTGCTTGCCTTTGTATGTTACACTTCTCTTTTCCCTAGCTGCTTTCAGGATTCTGTCCTTACCTTTGATTTTGGAGAGCTTGGTTTTTATATGTCTTGGTGATTGTCTTTTAGGGTCTGTCTTTCCTGGGGTTTGTTGAACTTCTTGAATACTTATCTTTACACTTTTCAGGATGTTAGGAAAATTTTCTTCCAGAAGCTCTTCAGCTATCTCCTCTGTGGACTTGTGTGATTCTTCCTGTTCCGGAATGCCAGTAATTCTTAAGTTATTCCTCTTCATGTTGTCCAACATGAATCTTAGGCTTTCTTCAGATTTCTTTATCCTTTTTTGTGTTTGCTCTTCTGTCTTAGTAATGTTGAGAGATTTATTTTTTAGTTCACTAGTTCTGGCTTCTCTCTATTCAGTTCTACTCCTTTGCCCTTTCAGTGTATTGTCCATTTCTGATATTCTATTATTAATCGTTTGGACCGCTTTCTGTAGGTTTTGAATTGTTTCCAGTGCTGTATGTATTTTAATTGATTGTTCCTGTAGTGCTTTCCTGACTTCTTCCTTATTTTTCTCAACTCCATTGTATAGTGGTTTGCTACATTTTAAAATCATTTTTTCTGAATTCCTTCTCTGGCATTTCCAAAGCCTGCCCATCTTCCAGTATGGAGTGTAGGTCTCCTTCCAGCTCATTTGCCTCAGTCACTTTGTCTCGTTTCTGGACATGTGCAGATATGGTCATCTCTTTCTGTTTTTTGGGCATATTCAGGAGTTATCTGTGGCCTTAATACGTAGATGGGTATGTATTTTGGTATTTTTTATGCTTTCTGATTGCCTCCAGATAGATGTGATCAGGAGATGGGCTTCCCTTTTCACTGTTCTTCCTGAGAAATTTCAAGATGCCACTGTTGGTCGTTGTAATGTATCTCAGGATTTAATTTTTGGCCTTTTCTTTTTTAGTCTCCCTGTCCCGCTTCACAATCCCCATTCAGGCCTTTTTCCTAGTGATAAACAGTTCAGGGCCAGCTGTGGCCATTTGGTTTTATGTGGAAACTGTCACTTTAAATTTTGAGGATCTCTGTGCGCATACGTAGTAGAACCCTCCGGGGATGGGGTGTCTACTCTCTCAGGTCCTCCCTCTAGTCACCGGAATGGAGGTGCGTGTCAGTGAGAGGCCATTGAACAGGTACAAAAAAAAAAAAAGTATGTCCCCACCTGTATCTCTGCAGTTCTGTCAGGCCTCCATGGCTGCTCTGATCCTTCCCCCGCTTGTTCTTGCTCAAGGTGGTGGCTCCTGGAGCAGCTGAGCGTCTTGAATTAGAAAGCAGTGGATTTCTTGCTTCTGCTACAAATTTTCCTAGCTGTAAGCCTTTCAACCGTCTAAATATTCCTTTATATGTGGCTCATAGTTCTGGCACCATCCCCTGAGCCTGCTTGGTCCAGTATTCTGTGTTGTTGCTGACGGAGCTCCTCATTGCACTGCTACCGGATCCACCATCTTGTTTGTTCTCTAAGGGATTACTTTTGAGGCAAAGCCCTGACTGATTGCAGGACCAGACTTGAGTTTCTGTGTCCCCACTAGGGGTCTGTTCCGGTTCATAGCCACCCTGTAGGAATTGTGGAACTGCTCTATAGGGTTTTGAAGGTTATAAATCTTTACAGATATGTGCCTTCTCTTTCGCCCATGGAGCAGCTGATGGGTTTAAACTTCCAACCCGGACTGCAAAGTTGATTTGAACTGCAAGGTCGGCATTCAGGTTCACCAGCCACTCCTTGGAAACCCTAACCAGGGTCACTATGGGTCGGAATGAACTCGACTGCACTTAACAATAACAACAACAACAGAGGCAGAAAGGGGGTATGTTAGTAACAGCAAGCAGAAAAGATGGGAGCAGAACACATTCTTTGGACCTGGGGGTTCCTGTGTTGGGTACCTCCTGGATCCACGAGACAGGCAGTGAGAGAGAGTGAGAGAGTCTAACACTGGAGACAGTGATAGACATGAAGAAGCAGCGGCAGAGAAATGGTGGTAGCAGAGAAGTCAGAACCAGGACCCTGCCAGATGACTTCAGCTGTAATGGACTGTCCTGCTCTTGGGTCAGGATGGTCACAGTGGGTGCTCCAATTCACAGAGCAAGAGAGCTTGAGTGTCTTCAGGCAGGAGGCTTGCTGGTGGAGGAAGGTGTTTCTGGGCTCTTATTGGTTGAGCTAGAAAGGAAAGCAAAAATACTTAAAATAACCTTAATGGAAGTAGATAGATGAAGAAGATATCAAAGCTAGATAGAAAGTTACAAAAGATTAGATAATAGTAAGCCTATCTGTTCCTGGTTGGAAAGATTAAATATTTTTAAATCATGAGTTCCTTGCAGTAGAATTTATTGGTTGAAGTGTATCCTATTAAAAATTCCAATGGGATTTTTTGGATGATCTCCTTAAATTCATTTGGTAGAGTAAATAGATTAAGACTAAATAAGAAGACTTTAAAAAATACAGTGATACTGATTTATTAAGTCACTGACAGATTATTGGGCAGAAATTTTTAGAAGGAAACATTCCAAATCAAAGAGGAAGGGATAGTTTTCCACGTATTTATTGTATTAGGAAGATTTGTCAAGTACTTGAGAAAAAAACCCAAAAACTCAAGTGCCTTACTTAGTAACTTTACCAAAATACATGGTTAAGTCATCTAAAGAGTTAAATGCAAAAGTGATAAAGCAGAACATTAGAAACTATTGAAAAAATTACAGTGAAAATTTGTTAAATGCTATTTGAATCACTCATCTTTGGGTTAGCAGTCCTATAGTGCCACATTGGCAATGGTGGTGGCTGTGTGCTGTGGAGTCGGTTCCGACTCATAGCGACCCTGCATAGAGTTTCCTAGGCTGTAAATCTTTATGGAAGCAGAGGGCCTCATCTTTCTCCCACAGAGTGACTGGTGGTTTCGAACTGCTGACCTTGAGGTTAGCAGCCCGACTCATAACCACTATGCTAACAGTGTTATATTAGGATATAAAAATTAGATTTTCTGAATTTTAAACAACAAAAGAAAAGGCAGAAACTGTAGAGCATATTTACAAGTCATAAGGTTAATAGTAGCTTTGATATATTAAGAGTGCTTACACCTCAGTAAGGAAGATGAACACATGATATGAGAAGGACCAGATTACTCACAGATAATAATACCAACAGTTCATAAATATTAGTGCACGCTGAACGTACACACAACTTAAGGTTTGTTGTTGTTAAGTGTTGTTAATTATGACTCTTAACAACCCTGCACAGGGTGTCCAAAGAAAAGCTGGTGGATTTGAACCACCAACCTTGTAATTAGCAGTCTAGTGCTTATCCTGTAGGATGGTGTTCATGTTAGAATGGTCAGTGCTGGTGAAGTATAGTAGTCAGTGCTTTTGAGGATTTGGCAAGATAGGTAACTCTGCTGTTAGGGTTATAAAGGGATTCCTTTCAGAAAATCATTTTAGGAGATTAGAAGCAGGGTATAGGGGCTCCCCAAGACAGCTCCCAGGCTTGAGTCTCTAGTACAACACATAAGAGGACTTGACATGTAGTCACTCTCCTCGTGATGGTTTATAACAGAGAAGATACAAAGCCGAGTCAGCAAAGGGAAGGGAGCACCTGGGACCAAATCTACAGGAAGTCAGGGACTAGCTTCCATGAGTCCTCTCCTAGAGCAAGTCACCCAGAAGACACTTAAACCCTTTAGCAGTGAGTTGTGACCACACATGAAGTGTCTACCAGAGACGCCTAATAGACACTCAGTGCCCAGGGTTTTTACTGGGGACTGGTCACGGAGCTCCTTCGTCCCAGCTTTTGCCAAGCTCCAGAGTCCCAGGCAGAAAGCAAGTGGTCAGCATAAATCATAACCATAGTGTTTGCACAGACATAAATGATACCACTGAATCTTTACTGTACTTCTAGGAGGACTTTTAATATAGTACTAGCTTTACATTGCTGGAAGTGAAATCTCATAGAAGTCAACCAACCTACCTGGGTTTAGACAGATATTTGATGAAGGGTGAGAGAGCTGCTACTTGAAGTTGGCAGTGCCAGTCCAGGCCCAGAGCTCTCAGCCAACCACTAGGCTGTTATTCCTAGGAAACAGGCCACTTGTGTAACAGAAGAATGACTGAGTTGGGGTTCGTTACTTCCACCCACGGGAGCTTCAGAAAGTTTGTAGAAAATGGAATGAAAAGATAATGAATTTTCCAAGAGTGTAGTTCTTGGGGAAGGAGCCGGAAGACACTACCTACTCCCACCGCTCAGGGTACGCACTGCCTCTTTAGCAGCTTGCTGCAGAACAAATGCTGAACACTAGTTTCACTTTTCACCATTTTGTCATAAAACAAAAATCCTCTTAGAATTTCTTTGGGTTAGTGAAGACAGGTCTTTTGTAAAAGCGATGTGGCTTAAAGTGAACTTTCAAAAAGTGGGGGATAACCTAAATCTGAAATCAGAAATTTATACTCTAATCTCATTTACTTCCCATCAGATACCAACTACTCCTAAATGATATCCACCAGTGTTACCTTGATCAGCGGGAGCTCCTTTTGGGCCCTAGTATTACTTGTACTGTCACAGAATTGACCAGCCAGAATAACAGAGATCATTGTGCCTTGGTAAGTTTCTGCTTGTTTTGGTGTAATGTTAAACCTTCTTCCTTGCTCTTTCAATACCCTAGAAGTTATAGCTTGGTGTGGCGCTGTTTGGACCATAAGGTCGGCATTTCAAACTCAGCAGCTGCTCCTTGAAAACCCCACATAGGGTCGCTATGAGTCAGTCGACTCAATGACATTTAGCAACAACAACAAGTTATATCTGAGTAAACAGGTTTTGAATCTTATGTTAGTTTCCCAGGGCTCCTATAACAAATTAGGACAAGCTGGGTAGCTTTAAACAAAAGAAACTTATTTACAGTTTTGGCATCTAGAAGTTTAAATCACGGTGTTGGCCGGGCCTTCCTCTTTCCAAAGAAGATCTTGCCTGGTCTTTTCCAGCTTCTGGTATACCCAGGCTTTCCCTGGCTCGTGGTAGCAGTCCTTTAATCTCTGTCAGGTTATCACATGGAATTCTTCCTTATGTATTTCTTTTCATTTTATAAGGACACCAGTTATGAGAAGATTAGGGCCCACCCTAATGGCCTCTGCTTAACATACCTAGTTACAGTTGTAACTACTCCAAATAAAGTCACAATCCCAGAGATAGGAATTGAGACTTCAACATATCTTTTTTAGGGAGACAATTCAACCCATAACAAATTTCTTATCAACAAATACAAAGAATGTTTCTTTTTCACAAATCTAGTTTCTTTACTCAGCTTGGCAAAGTGTCCTCATTTTGACATAGTTTTTGAGCGATGAAGATTCACAAATAAGTATTGTTCATTGAATGATGAGATTTCAGGGTTTGTGGGTTTATATTGATTAACAATTAAGTTTTAGCCTATCTTTTGCTGAGAAAGTGCTGTTTTGTACTGTGTGATTATAATTCATGCTACAGAAAAATGCATAAAGCCTCTTTTTTTTAAATAGCCCCTTTTCAGCTAGGAAAGTAGTAATATATATTCATTTTCAAAAGCTTAGAAAATAATGCGTAACAAGGAAAATACAGCATCACTCATTGTCCTTATGATTCAGTAATGCATTGAAAAGCAACCATTATTTGTTCTTCAGTATGTTGTTTTAAGAATACTTTTGCACAATCTCTTTGCAAATAGAATGCAAGTTTTATTTCATGAACACTGGAAACACTGTGTATCTGTAACGGTCACTGGTGTTTGTTTGTTACTGCAGGTCCGCAGTGGCTGTGCCTTTATGGTCCATGTATGCCAGGATGAGCACCAGCTTTACAATGAATTTTTCACAAAACCAACATCAAAACTAGAGTAGGTGGTTCATGGAATCTTAACTCTTGTTATTAAAGTTTAATTTGTTAGTAAATAGATTATTACATTAAAGGAGTATTCTGTTATTAACTGCCGAGTGTTTTAAATTCTGTGTGTGTGTGCACAAAATATTGTTGGCTAGGACAGTGGCTGTGTTCGTAACATCAGTGTGTAATTTCAAGGCTCAGTACACTTTAGCATTGTTTGTACTATGATTATGGAGACTGTGATGGATGGTAAATCATTGTACCAGAACTAAGAGTCTTTGGAGTCTTGATGCCCCTATCTCCATGAAGTACAGTAATTCCTTCTGGTTAGCAGATTCTGTGATTCTGCACTCAGAATACAGACACAGTTTCATATTCTTTTCTTTATTTCTCTCAAAGTGTCTTTCAGATCCACTGGCAGTCCTTTTGGAGTTCTTCATATTGACTATTTTATTGACTCCTGTAATGGGAAAGAAACCAGTGTATTTCATTTATTTTGTTGGTGTTCTCTCTCAGTGAAATACTTTCTATAGAAAAGCACCAGCAACAATATGAAGAAGGTGGACAGCTTAATCTTTTCCTTTTCAGACGTTTGAGATTTCTCAAAGTTGTCAGTGTATCCCAAGTACTTTGCGTTTTGCGTATCTAAATCTACGAGTACTTGATTTTGAGCCTGTCTTTTCTGGGGAAAGTGATACCATCCAATTCACAGTGAAGCAGAATATGAAGGAATAATTGAATCTGCTGAAGTGTTTTTTATTGTTTTAGAAAGAAAATATGTAAAGTTATTGCTGATGTAAATCCAATTTTAAAATGAGTTATCTTTTGGTTGGGGGCAGTTGATTAGAATTGACTGCTAAAGATTGTTTCTGAGTTTTAAAGAAAAAAGTTTACAGAATTACTTTTAGCCTTTTACTTTCCATTCAGTAATGTGCTCCAAAACTATGTTCCAATAGGCATTTTTATTTTAATGACTGGAAGAAGTTAGTGAACCCTTTTACATTATTAGCAAATCCTGACAAGATGGCCCCTTATAACCTTGTTTTCTTCTTTGGTTTTAGTGAACTTTTGGAGAAGCTGTGTGTATCATTGTATGATGTCTTCAGGCCACTTATCATTCATGTTATTCACTTAGAGACTCTATCAGAACTTTGTGGGATTCTTAAAAATGAGGTGCTTGAAGATCATGTACAGAACAATGGTAAATGATAAATAGAAGTGGTAACTTCAAAGTCTTTAAAGTTATATTTGTGTCTCAGTGAATTAGAAAAAGATTAGGTGTTCCCTCCTAAAATACTTAATATTTTTGAAGCTGTACAACAGCAATTACAGTAACCCTTAATGAGTTTTAAAAGAAAAGGATTTAAAAATATGGGCAAAATTAGTAATGAAAAAAATTACAATCACTTTTATTTTGGCATTTGAGTGTCCAAAGACCATCCATTTTGGGTTAGGCATTTCTGGTAGGGTAAGCACTGGATTGCTAACTTTGAAAAGTCAGTGTTTCAAACCTACCAGTTGGTTCTCAGAAACTCTATAAGGGTCCCTAAGAGCCAGAACCTACACAGTAACAGTTACAGAGTAAGAAGCCTGGTGGCACAATGGTTAAGTGCTCTGCTGCTGAACGAAGGGTTGGCAGTTTGAACCTACTCATCTACTTGTAGGCAAAAGACCTGGCAATCTACTTCCATACAGATCAAAGCCAAGAAAACCCAGTGGGGCAGATCTGCTCTCTCACACAGGGTCAGTGAGTCAGAATCAACTTGATGATAACCAATAATAACATTAGCAAAATAATAATGAATTGTAATGTTAATCTTGATTAAAAAGCAGGAATTATTTTACATACATACGTTGTAGGAATATATCTTCTTTTAAATTACAAAGAAAAGGAAAAGTGATTTTCTGGAACAGTTCTGTTTTAATTGATACATTCTTCTAATACTTTATTGTTTTTAATCTATTGATGCTTTTAAGCAATACCCTTAGGTAATCATTTTACTGGGAGAAATTATTACTTTTCCTTAGGAGTCACTGTGGGCTTGTTAACTCTTTGAAGTTTTGTATTTGGCTGCATTTAGTTAATTCTGGGGTGTACATTTCCCCACATTTAAATGATTTAAGTTAATTTTGTAATGAATGTGAGTGTTTTTACATGATTGTATAGTGTCTCCAATCCCCCAGGTCTTGGAACTGGTACCAAATTATTGATGTGTCTTAACCTTAAAGGAATCGTAGAGATGAAGAAATGCTATATAAGCTCAAATCCTGTGTTATTTGTACTTATCTTTCTTTGTGGAAATGTTAACACATCATTAACATCTGTGGGACTCACTTTGTTTGTAAAATAGGGATAATCACCCAGTTAGTAACTTGTCTTAGGCAGCTCTCAGGGCTGCTTTCAAGCTTACTACCTGGAATCATACAAATCACTTTTAAAAAACACAAAGTTTTCTTAAAGTTCAGATTTTAACATTCTTATTAATAATAAAAGGATTTTCTGAGTCCCAGCAAGGAGGTATATGGGCAAGTTTATTTCTCAGTTTTAAAAGACGTCTGCTAAATGACTTTTCCAAGTCTGTTTGAGTCATACTGCAATAGAACCAGAGTCTCAGAAACAAAACTGGTTCACATCTTTTGGAACAATTCAGGAATACTGTTACTTGTTTAGAAGAAAATAATTTTCTAAATTTAAAGGGTGATTGTACTTTGTTTTTATCAGCTGAACAACTGGGGGCATTTGCAGCTGGCGTGAAACAGATGTTGGAAGATGTGCAAGAGCGACTCGTCTACCGAACTCACATCTACATTCAGACCGACATCATGGGCTACAGACCGGCGCCCGGAGACTTGGCGTACCCGGACAAGTTAGTCATGATGGAGGTCAGCGTCCTAGCCTGGTCTCTTCACTCCCATGGCTTTTAGATGCCTTATATAAATTAATTAGGAGTTTTCTTTTTAATTGTCACTCAGAGAATGTAGATAAACTTGCTGTAAAATTGTTGGGAAAATAGTTTTTAAAATTTCTATCGACTTCACAGCATAAAAATTGAACAGAAATACTATATTAGGATGTTGTTGTTGTTGTTAAGTGCTGTTGAGTCAATTCCGACCCATAGCAACCCTGTATAGGATTTCCAAGGAGCAGCTGATGAGCTTGAACCACTGACCTTGCAGTTCAAACGACTTTGCAGTCTGACGCATTAGCCCACAGCACCACACCAGGACTCCATATTAGGATGTTAGGTTGTTATAATACTTTATTATTATTTTTTAATCTAATTACGAATCGGGCTGCGAACCTTAAGGTCAGCGGTTCGAAACTACCAGCCGCTCCGCGGGAGAAAGATGAGGCTTTCTACTCCCGTAAAGATTTACACCCTCGGAAACCCTGTACAGGGTCGCTATGGGTCGGACCCGACTCGATGGCACTCAAAAACAACAACAACAATGATGCTTTTAAGCAGTACCCTATAGATAAACATTTTACTGTGAGAAGTTATTGTCTTTCCTTAGGAGATACTGTGTTGTTTATTTTAGAAACATCAGTTGTCTCCCTTTTTCCAGAAAACATGTGTTCTGAATTGTAAATTGAATTAGTATTCTCAGTGATTTGTTTTTTTAAATAAGGGGTATAGAGGAGATTTCATAACAGGAGCCATCAGATTTGACTGTGAGGTGGTAGTAACTGTGTATCATCATTGCTCATGAAAACCCTTAGGCCATCTCCTCAGGAGCACAGGTGGAGATCTCCGTTGTGGCTTGGAGACTTGGGTTATTTCACTGGTCAGTCCATTACACATGCATTTTTATTTTTTATGAATGCCGAGAAGACTTTAAATAATAGCTAAAGTATTAGTGCTACCACAGAATTTGAACCTAGAACATTTTTAATGGAAAATTTCAAATATAAGCGGAAGTAGGATAATAGAATGAACTTTTATGTACCATTACTCTAGCTGTAGTTATCAGTGCATATCCGGTCTTGCTTCACTTTCCCCTCAACAGACAAAATCATCAGCTTTACATTTAACAAATTAATATAATTTTTGTTTAATCTCAATGATTACACTCCCCCAGCCCCAACAGTTATCCTACTTCTTCCCTGTGGCTTCCCTTTTACATCTTATATTTCACAAAGCAAAAATATTTGATATACACATATAATATGAAAAATATATATTTATTTAAATGTCCTAAGAGCATGTTCTGTAAGCCAGCCTCCTGCCCACAGGCACACAGTCCATGCCATCACCTCTGCCACCGTCTCTGCTGTTGCTGGTTTTCCAGGTAAGATTTCACTGTCCACTCAAGTTCTTCCTTCTTGGTGGTCCTGGGATCCTGTTTCTGAAATGAAAGATTACTCCCCACTTTTAGTTACATATCTACTACAGTTATATTTGTGACAATCACAGTTAATCCTGCTAACAGTCACAGTTAAATCATAAAATCCTGTCAGCTTCATCTCCCATCCCCTTTAACCGGATCTGGTTAAATTCTCGTTACCCATTCTGGTTACCATAATGGGAATTCTGCCTTACCCATTTTTTCTGACACTAAGTACACTCATAAAAGCTTGTAAGCCAGCCATGCTTTTGTAGCTCCCCATTTTTGACAGCCAATTTCTAGATTGTCCATACCTCAACCCAGTGCACTGAAAAAAGAAGTTTGATAGGAAGCATTCTTCCATTTTGGTTGGAATTTTGAGCAACTACATCCAGAAGCAAAAGTCCACTTCATCAAATTGTAGCAGTTTACATTTGCTCACAGTATAAAGCATCTTTATTTTCATCTGGTTGAGTTCTGGTCACCTATGCATCCAAGTTAGGTCAAATGAATACCAGCTGCCAGTTTAGGTGTTCATTCTCACCTCCTTGCACTTCCGACCACCTGGCTGCTTCACTCTAATCCCTAATCCCCAGTGGCTAGGTCAGTGCCCAGGGACTCAGGAGTTCACACATCTTCCTAAACTTCAGACCTTTCAGACCTTCCTCCTCTCTCTCTCATCTGGTGATTAACTGGTGTCAGTGGAACATGGGCAAGCTCAGCTCATGTCTTCATTGATGCATTACCCACTTCCACTCACAAGTAGACCCAGGGGTTCACCAGCGAGTATACTAGCTTGCTCACAGCTTCCCTTTGCGTTTCAGTCTTAGAAGGGGGTTTTTCCTGATGGGCTGACTGTTCTTTGACTTGATAACTCCAAAGCAAACAATTTGCTTGATATTCTAACAGGCAGGACAGTCTGTTTTTTTTTCTGCTGGTCTTTCTTTCAATAAGATTCTCTTGACTAAATATGATTTCATCATTATTTAAGTACGTACTTCTAAAAGCTGAGGACTTTTATTTTTAACACAATCGTAGTATGTTTATTGTACTTAAAACCATTAATTATAGTCCTTGATATCATCAAGGAGTCCTGGTGTGGCGCTGCAGGCTAAAGCGCTGGGCTGCAGTGTCGGTATGAGTCACAAGGTCGGTGGTTCAAGCTTACGAGCTGCACCTTGAAAACCCTATACAGGGTAGCTATGAGTCAGAACTGACTCGATGGCACTTACTAACAACAACAGCAGTATCATCAAGGAGTCTTGTTATAGAAGTGAGGTCATAAGTCATTTGTGATTGACTTATTTCACTCAGTGTAATGTCTCCTCACTCCATCCCTACCATAGCATCATGTCTCCCTCTGGTTGAGCGGTATTCCACTGTATGTACAAGGGTAAGTCAGAAAGTATAGTTACAAAATCACAGAAATCTTTATTAAAAATACCAAAATGTAAAGCTATTGTTTCTCAGCATATTTTCCATCTTGATTTATGCATGTCTGGAGTCAGTGTTTCTCTCTCTCTAACCCTTTCCTAAAGAGCTCTGCACTCTTCCATTTACTTTGTGTCAAAACAGCAGTTTTAACACCCAACAGGAACTCAAATCATGTTCCTTTAAAATTTTTTTTCATATAAATTGTGGCTATTCTTTTTTTTTTTTTAAATGTTTTATTGTGAATTATGTAATAGTTTACATGGGAGAACATTAGCTTTACATTCATTCTATTGTATATCATTTCATTGCCATGGTTACAATCCCCTCCATGCATCATCAACCAACCAAAGGATATACCCTGCAAGCCTGCTCCCCCCAGTCATCAGCACACAGCCCCTCTTCCTCTCTGGGTCTAAAGTCCCCACTCCATCTCTCCACGTCATTGTCTCTGCCTCCATCTCTGGTGTCACTACTTCTCTGGTTGGGGTCCCACACTCTGCTCTTCTCCCTTTATGGTCCTAGGGACTTCTGCTCCTAGACTGCAAAGTCAATCATTCCCTCCTTTTGCTACAAAACGTCCACCTTTACATTTCCAACCCTCACAATCAGTCCTGATAACAATGATTCACCATTGTATCACAAGAGACCTATCCATATCTCCTTTCATCAGCCCCGCCCAGACAGATTGGATACTACTCAGTGAAGATTCTACCTTCCTCCACGCCTCGGCTCCCTCTTGAAAGCTTGTAAGCCAGTCACTTCTTGCCTTTGTAGGCTGCCCCACTTCTGGGGTAGCCAATGTCCAAGTTGCCCATCCCTGTCTACTCTGTGTATGGAGGGGGTGGGAATGATCCTCGCTGTAAAGATTTGTTCATTCTTGAGCTACTGCCTCCATAGGTGTAGGTCAAGTTCATCAAATTATATTAGATTACTCTATTTTTCCTCTTCTTTTTTTTTCTAGTTGAGTTCTGATCATCCAGTCATTGAAGCCAGGTCAAGTGGATATTATCTGTAAGTGTAGGTATTCTTATGCATATGCCCTCTCATCTTATCAGCTGGACGCTTCACTCTCCACTCTAGTCCTCTGTGGCTATGTCACTGACTGTGGGCCCAAGAGTCTCCAGGTCTTGCCACACTGTTGGCCAACCAGGTCTCCACCCGGGTTCACAGGAGTCTATAGAACGTTGTAGGGCTTAGCTTGCAGCTTCATTGCTATTTTTCCCTCACTTCCCCTTATAGGTGATAAATGTGGTCACCAATCAGAGCGTGTATTCTCTTTGAGTTTTAGTCTTGGAAGGAGATTTGCCCTGAGGGGACCCGACCACATGCCTTGATGTTTTCTGGGTGAGCAACTTGCCTGTTCTTGTAGTAACCAGTCAGATTGCCTATATTGTTTTATATTTTTCTTGTTGGTCTGTCTTTCAAGAAGTATCTTCTGTTCTTTTAGACACTCCAGGCTGGTCTGCTTGTTCTTTCAAGTGGAAATTTCACACCTCAGAAGATTCTGGATGGGGTTCAGGATGCCACCTGTGTCCTTATGTAATGCAAAGGCTCCACAGGAAGCCTCCTTCCCTGGGCACATTGTATAGCCCCATTTTAGGTATTCCAGTCGGTTATAGAGGAGTCCTGATGTGGCGCTGTGGGTTACTGCGCCAGACTATAAAGCCGTTTGAACTGCAAGGGCAGCGGTTCAAGCTCACCTGCTGCTCCTCGGAAACCCTATACAGGGTTGCTATGGGTCAGAATTGACACAACAGCACTTAACAACAACAACAGTCAGTTATAGGAAGAAGACGAACTTATAAGCTTTCTATGGTGATATTTCTGGTGGCTATTCCTTTCTCTCCCCTTAAAGTGTCTATTTTATAATGGTATGCAGAGAAACCAAGATTCAAAAGACAGCCAAGCATTTTCACATTATTTCCCCCCTTTTCCCCATTCCAACCATGTCTCAATCCCTGTATCCCAGAGCCCTGTTGTTCCAAGGTTGTGCATACATCATTATTTACCTCTGTCCCACTTA